TTTGCGTGATTGCCTTTGCTACTTCAGCCCCGTATGCTGAAGTTACGCGAAAAGGTGGGTACGTTTGCAATTTTTTTTTTTGCAAAACGGACACAAGTTAAAACGTGACCCAAAAAGCGGGTATAGATGCAAATGCCCCGCTGATGAGGGAGCATGGTTCTAATATTGGGCCAACTAAGAGACTCATAGTTGGGCCGGACTCAAAGAGCTGCAGGCTTCGGTGATCGACCTGTTATGGCCATGTGACCAGGAGGTCACGAGTTCAAGACGTGAAAACAACCTCATGCAGGGTAAGGCTGCGTACAATAGACCCTTGTGGTCGGCTCTTCCCTGGACCCTGCGCATAGCAGGAACTTAGTGCACCGACTGCCCTTTTATTCTCACAACTGATAAATAAGACGGCCCACCGTCTACTCGAATAAAAGACCAGAAGAATATGTAAAAATAGCATATGCTAGCCAGTTTTCGGGCTGGTAATTGAAAAACAGCTAGCATTTGCAAAGTCATTGAAAAATAGCCACTATTTTGCTGCAATGGAAAGTTCCAGCATAATATACTAGAGATTGGAGCACATGTGTATGAACTTCCAGCATATTATGCTGGAACTCCAGTATATGTTGAAAGTTCACATGTAAAAATTCGAACTCTAGTATATTATGCTGGAATATTTTCTGGATTTTGAACCGTATTTTCGGTCAGATTTATCTTTACATAAAAATGGCTAAATTTCTATTACTTTTAAAACTCTAGTTATTTTTCGATTACCACTTATAAATCTAGCTATTTTTGAATTTTTCACGAAAAATTATCTCTGCCAACAACTGATTCCGAATTTTCATCTCCTCTACGGGGTCATCTAGAGTCTACCACTATTATATCTTCTTTAATATAGCAAATATATCAGCACAAACACCTACTGCTGCTTCAGCACAAACTAGATAGATCACCCCCTCCTTAGTTACTGGGTTCAAAATGAATATGATCTTATTATATGTAAACATTTTAATTTTCTTTTTCCTTAAACATAATTTGAGCAAGAAGCAACGCATTCAACTGAACCCACGAACCCACCCAAAATCCGCGTGTGTTTGTTACTTTTCTACAGAGACCTCAAGCTCTTCAAAACAGTGATAATATTTAGGGGGTAGTAAACTTAATCTGCTTAGTGCATTCTAAGATAAAATCACATTATTTTTGTGATTCGCATGGAAGTATGAAAAAGCGGATAAGTAGATCAACAAACTATTTTTGTGACCAAGTTAAAGAAAACACAAATGTAGACACCAACTTAGCAAATGGAAAAGAACATCTTAATAAAGTAGATACACAAACCAGTCAGTGTCAACCCAAGATAGCACCTAGGTAGAAAGATAATTCCAAATACTAGCTAAAATAAAGTATTTACATGTTTTCTTGAACTTATTTACTCACTCCGGTTTCTTACGTCTTCAGAAGGATCCGAAAGTATTCTCACCACTGTAGGTCATGTAGAGGAAGCCATCTTCATCCTTGTGTTCCTCATAAATGGCAGACATCATTGCAGCTGTAACAAAGTGGATAAACAATCAGAAAACAAAGAGGTAAAAGCATAATAACAGTTATTACTTTAGAAAGTTTCTCCTCACCTGTAGGGGGGAGGATATTCTTCACAAAGATAAATATTGCCTTCTCAGCACTGAGCTTAATCCTCTTACGAACAACATACACAAATTGTCCAACAGTCAGATCCGCGGGAACCAAATACCTGCAAGGTATCTTGATGTGATTAACAAACACTAGTTGAACATAAGATTAACTTGAAAGAGCGCGAACACGGGAAATAGCTGTGTCAACTCAGTCAAAGAGGAAACAATTCCAAAAGAAAAAGAAAAGAGTAGAACACTTTCCATCTCACTAACAGTAAGAAACCATTGTTTGAGTTGCTTAACACCACTTAACCATAAAGAAAGAGAGAACAAACAATCGCATCAGTCTTGCGTTTCTATATATCTCCTCACCAGAGCAAACTAGTGCTCTTTCCAGCCAGATTAATAGTAATACTACTCCATTTTAATATCTCAAACAAATAATCTGACAACAACAGTAAATACTTGAATATGCTATTCCATACAAAGACACAAAACGACAATAACCAGAATACTTGAACGCAGAAACTAGAAATGACACAAACTCAAAATTATGAGGAATATATATTGTTATGGCAGAGCATTAGAGGAAATCAAAAGCTCATTTATGAAAAAATAATTAAGTACTGTAGACTTAAGGACTTGACCCAAGTAAACATAGTAAAGGACCAGATGAAAAAAAAAACTAACTTTTTCTTGTCAATGTCGGGGATATCACTTCTTTCAGCCTTCTCCACAATAACCTAAATAGTAGGAAAGAAACGAAGAGATTAGAGGTTGGAGAAAAAGCACATAAATTTTCTAGCATAGCGAGAAGAGCAATGCAAGAGAATAGACAAAATTGGTACCGGGATTCTATCAGGGTACTTCTCCCTGATACGAGCAGCTTCAGCCTGTCGCCTCTCTAGATGAATGCAATACCGAATTAACAAGACACAACATGGAATCCAATGATAGCAGAGAAAGAAAGTTACAATTCAAAGAAAATTCAAAAGAGAAGCCTAAAAAGAACTTCAAGTATACAAAAATATATTTCAAGTATACAAAAATATATGCAGGGCATCCACAACAAAACAATGATCACTTCCAAAAGATTATTGGGAGAGCATCAAATGACAGACCCGTTTGCATTAAGAACAAAGAATTTCTAACAAAGAATACTTCATATTTGTGTTCACCAAATTGAGAATTTTTCACTAAAACTATAGAAGTGCAATAAGTGATCATGCTTGCAAAGACTAGATACGAAAAAGAATCTACTTGGCTACTATTATAATACAACAAATAGACAACACATAATTGTAACAGAAGAATAACCAAAATCCAAAAACAGAAATTGCGTCAAATAAACTGTGAAATTCACAAGAGAATAAAACAAAAAAGACCAAGAGATTTAAAACCAAAAAAAAAGGAGTAAAAATAGAATTCCAGTAACAAGAATAAAGCATATGCACAAAAGGGTTTTAAAGATATAATAATCCCCACCAAAAGAAAAGAAAAGAAAAAAAATTGTCACTCTGAACAAACAAATTTCATAATTGGACAAGTCAAAGAACGGATCTTGGAAAAATACCAAGAGGGTGTTCCAATTTGAAGGAGCTTTTGGCCATGGTGATCGGAGAATGATAATAAAAAATTTGGGGTAGCTGCAAACTAAGAGATGCAAATAAAATTAGGGTTTTTCACAGATAACGGAAAAAGATTAATTAAAATAAAGAGAAAAATCCGGAAGATTTAGGGAAGAGTCCTTACACAAAGGAAATCACAAGAGAGTGAAGAAGCAACCAAATTGTTTCTTGTTTATTAAAGTTAATGAAAAATAAACTGTACTCTATATAATTGGATAATGAAACATACACGCATCTTCAAGTACGTTTTCCCTATTTTATCCCTTTCTCTACTCCTTTTTTCTTTATGTTGCCCCAACACACTAAACACCCCCAATATTTTTATCAAATCAATAAATATCATAATATATATTTATACATATTTGTATTATTTAGCAATAGTAAATTAATATCTGCCCCACTTTATATTTAATTCAACATGAAATTTAAGAAATATAAGAAGTTTTTTGAAATTTATTGTCTAAAATAAATTATAAATATTTGTATGACTGTAAACCAATTCTAATGGGTAGAGTAAGAATTATAAAGATAAATTATTTTTAAATAAGAAAATAATTTTTTTGAATGAGTCAAAATGAAAGAGTGTTACTATTATTATCTCATTAATTTATTTAAAAATAATAAATTAATATGATATACAAACACCGATTATTATAAGGCAGACATGCACATCTGTTTTCCTTGAATGGTGTCGTTTCACCATGGTGCTCTTACCTTTTATTCTTCTTTTTTCTGGCATTTTATGGTGACTACTCTTTTGCATTTCTTCTCTTTTCTGTTTTTCCTCTTCTGATTTCTAGTTGGAATGCCAAACACCACATACTTACGCCGGACTTGTTTACCAGTAAAAAGGTCAGGTGGAACTTCCCAATAAGATGTTTCCCATTTGAGTCTTGAAAATAAAAAATCTTTTAAAGCCTTGAGATTAAAATTTGTCACGATCCCAAATATCAGTCGTGATGGCGCCTATCACATTACTAGGCAAGTCAACCCAAACATTTAATCACAACCCTTTTTCCTTATAATAGCCATTTTCTAACATAGGTTCTGAATACCAAAATTTCATAATAAGCGTTTAAAGCAGCAAAATATATATATGCGGAAGTCAAATAAACATGAAACTACATAGTCTCAAATACTTGATGTCACGAGTCTAGAGCCTCTACTACATAACTGATTGTCTGATACAATAAGTCTAGAAAATGCGGAAAAGAACAAGATAAGAAGGAGAAAACGGGGCTGCGGACGCCATGCAACTACCTTGAAATCTTCGGCAACCTCTGGATCAGCTGAGGACCCTCACTCTGCTACTCGAGCACCTGGATCTGCACATAAGGTGCAGGGAGTAACGTGAATACGCCAACTCAGTAAGTAACTAAAGCAAATAAGGTCTGAAAGCAGTGACGAGTAGTTAAAAAAAATCATATAACTTAATAAACAACAGGATAACAGGTCAACTTCATAGTTTAAAACCAGTTTCATCATAAAATCATCAATTTCAGATTAAACACTTGAAATCATATACTTTAGCAATTTTCCGAGAGAGGCTATTTTTAAAAGAAGAGTGAAATAAGTGGAAAATATCATAACTGGGCCCCTCGGGCAAGGTATCACTCAGAATATGGCCTCTCAGCCACTCGTGACTCACTCTCGTCACTTAGTACTCACTCTCAGCACTCATGCTCATTAGTATCTCATAATAATAGAAATCATAGTAATCGCTGCGGCGTGCAGCCCGATCCGAAATTTATAGTTGACTACGCTCACTGGGGGTGTACAGACTCCGAAGGGGCTCCTACAGCCCAAGCATCATATCGCTGCGACGTGCAGCCTTATCCAATATATATATATCGCTGCGGCGTGCAGCCCGATCCAATATATATATCGTTGCGGCGTGCAGCCCGATCCATAATATATACATATAATATCCTCACTAATAGGTTCTCAACCTCTCTCATCCATTAACCTCACAGCCTCTCGGGCACAACAATAGAAATTAGGGAACTCAACCCAAACTGTCCTCACAATTAGAAGTGGAGTGATAAAACCAGCTTTAAATATTTAAACAGGTAAAACATGACTGAGGATATGCTGTCAATAAGTAAAGTGAGGAAAAACAGTAAAATGCCCCTAAGGGTCTCAACAGGTCGGCACAAGGCCCCATACATGACATACAACCCATAATACATTATAAATGACTAAAGTACGGAATAATATAAGATTCCAAATCAAATACGCGGCTTAATAGTCACTACGGGACAGACCAAGTTGCAATCCCTACCGGTGCACGCCCACACCACGCTCGTCACCTAGCATGTGCGTCACCGCATTTATCAAAACAAGTCAAATACCGGGGTTTTGTACCCTCAGTTCCAGATTTATAATGGTTACTTACCTCAAACCGGTGAAAATACTACTCCGCGACGCCTTTGCCCTTTGAATCGGCCTCCACTCGTGTCGAATCTATCCAGAATCAGAATCACGGCGTCAAAATATGCTAACAGAACGAAGCCCAAACGAAAATAATCAAATTATACCAAAAATCCCGAAATTGGCCAAACCCGACCCCCGGACCCACGTCTCGAAACTCGATAAAAATCACATCAACGAAATTCTTATCCTCCTACGAGTCCATACATACCAAGAACACTGAAATCGGAGTCCAAATGACCCCTCAAATTCATATTTAAAGTCTCTTAATCTCAAGCCCTAATTCCTCAATTTTAGGCTTAATTTCCATGATTATTGAGGTGGAATTCACATTAGAATCGAGTTTTAAGTCCAAGAATCTTACCTCCAAGTGATTCCTCTTGAATCCCTCTTCAATCCCCTTCAAAAAGCTCCAAAAACGACCAACAATTGGAGAAATAAACCCCACATTCGCGGACAAGACGACCTTTTAAACCTTCTACCCAGGCCTAAAAATCCTTCTTCACGAACGCGGTCAGCGCCTCACGTTCGCGAAGCACAAAAATTCTGTTGACCAAAACTCTTCTTCGCGAGCGCAAACCCACCATCGCGAACGCGATGCCTCAGCTTCACCAACCTACGCGAACGCGACCAAGACTCTCGCGAATGCGATGCTTACTATTCCGGCCCTTCGCGAACGTGGGACTTCCCTTCGCGAATGCGAAGGCCAAACCTGACGCCTCCTTTCCTGACCTTTCGTGAACGCGAGGGTACACTCGCGAACGCGAAGACCAAAAATGCCTGCAAAAGCTGAACAGAAATCTGCAACTTTTCTTTAACTCAAAATGGTTCGTTCAACCCTCCGAAATTCACCCGAGGCCCCTGGACCTCAACCAAAGGCACCAACATATCTCAAAACCTCATTCAAACTTGTTTCAATCTTTAAAACACCTCAAATAACATCAAATCAACCTAAACACATCGGATTCAAGCTAAACTTTCTAAAATCTTCTAAATTTTGCTTTTGATAAAAACCCCAACCAAACCACGCCCGAATGACCTAAAATTTTGCACACACGTCCCAAATGACACAACGGGACTACTGCAACTCTCAGAATTCCATTCCGACCCCTATATCAAAATCTCGCCTACCAACTGGAAATCACCAAAATATCAACTTCGCCAATTCAAGCCTAAATTTACTCCGAACCTCCAAAACTCATTCCGATCACCCTCCTAAGTCCCAAATCACCTCCCGAAACTAACCGAACCTTCGGAACTTACATCCGAGCTCTCTAACACACACAAGTCAACATCCGATTGACTTTTCCAACTTAAACTCACTCTAAAGAGACTAAGTGTCTCAAACCTTACCAAATCCTTTCCGAACTCGATCCGACCGACCAGATACCACATAACACGGATAAACAAATCATAAAGAAGCAAAAATGGGAAAAACGGAGCGGTAACTCATGAGACGACTGACCGGGTCATCACAAAACTCTTGATATGAAAAAATATCTCTTTAATAGCCTACTAGACCCAAATTTGGATCCAAATGAATTTCTAATATTTAATGCTTAAACCAAAAGAAAAATAAAACGGAAACTAGTTTGTAAGCAATATTGAAATATTTAAAACGATACTATGATTCATTGTTAATTCATGAAAGAAATGCTCAGTGAATTTGGAAAAATTTCTAATTTTGTGATGAAATTTCTTTAAAAAACTACTAATAAATTTCACACGAAGTATTTTGCGTTTATCACATCTAAAATTTTAATCAAAAATTTCATTGCTTATCACTGGAAGTTTGATAATGCTCCAAAAGATAATAGATTAAAATAAGTCTGGATACAAAGAAGGATCAGGTCCAGCTAGGAGTTAGAATAAGTTTATCACAAATTGACGAGCCCCTTTGAAACGGTGAAGCTAGACATCTAGTAGGAGTATTTTGGTTATTTCTTTTCAAAAAGATTTTGAAAATATTATTTATTCATATAATTTGATCAGTTGTTTTCTCTCTGTGTGAGAGATAGACCCCTTGTTGAATACAAACCCTAATCTTTTCTTATCTTTGCCCTAGTTTCCAATTTATTTGATCTAGTAATACACGCAAACGAATTTTGCTTCTCGACCCAACAGTGATACTACGCCTTTGGAAGAGAGATGCGCAGGGTTGAATATAAATGATGCACCAGTCAAAGTTAATTATTGTCACGACCCGGATTTCTCACCCTCAGGAGTCGTGATGACGCATACTAGTGGAAACTAGGCAAGCCAACCATTTGCATTATTTACCTTTTTCCATTTTAATCCATTAACAATTAAGAATCAATATTATGTAAAAAGCGGAATTTAATAAGCGAAAGAACAAAATATAACTATTTTAATATTACCAATACAAATCCTTAAAACATAACTACCCAAAATTGGTGTCACAAGTTCACAGACTGTCTAGGAATACTACAAATAAAAGTCCAAAAGATTTATTACAACACTGTTTCTGAAATACATAAAAGAAACAGAATAAAAGGATAGAAGAAGACGCCAGGGCCTGCGGACGCCTGCAGGACTACCTCGGATCTCCGAATGGACTGAAGGCAACAACCCAAAGCTAAGGTCCAAATGCTCCAGTACCGGGATCTGCACATAGTGCGGAGTGTAGTATCAGCACAACCGACCCCATGTGCTGGTAAGTGCCTAGCCTAACCTCGACGAAGTAGTGACGGGGCTAGAATCAGACTACCAAATAAATCTGTGCAGTTAAATCATATACAACAGCAAATAAAAGAAAAACTTTACAATTAAAGATAGGAAGGGGAAATCATG